TCACCGTGACTACGAGCTGCACTCTCTCGACTTCAGCACAGCTTTCTTGCAGGGCAGCCTGCACGAGGAGATCTGGCTGCGTCGCCCACCTGGCTTCACTGGGTCTTTCCCTCCTGGTACCCAGTGGAGTCTCCGGCGTCCAGTCTACGGTCTCCGCCAGGCGCCACGTGAGTGGCACGACACACTGAGGACTACGCTTGCGGCACTAGGGTTTGTTCCTTCTACTGCCGACCCGTCGCTGTTTCTGCGCACCGACACCTCTCTGCCGCCGTTCTACATCCTCGTGTACGTCGATGACTTGGTCTTTGCCACAGCGGACACTGCTGGACTCGCTTACGTGAAGTCCGAGCTGCAGAAGAGACACACGTGCACTGACCTGGGTGAACTGCGCAGCTACCTTGGCTTGCAGATCACCCGGGACAGAGCACGCCGCACCATTACCCTGACACAGTCACACATGGTGCAGCAGGTCCTTCAGCGCTTCGGCTTCACGTACTCCTCGCCTCAGGCCACTCCTCTGCCTACTCGCCACTCGCTCTCAGCTCTGCCTTCGGATGAGTCCGTAGAGTCGAGTGGCCCGTATGCAGAGCTTGTTGGCTGCCTCATGTACCTGATGACCTGCACACGACCTGACCTTGCTTACCCTCTCAGCATTCTCGCACGCTATGTTGCTCCTGGGAGACACCGACCAGAGCACATGGCTGCAGCGAAGAGGGTGTTGCGCTACTTGTGCAGTACGTCGGGCATGGGGCTAGTGCTTGGAGGGCGCAGTCCAGTGGTCCTCACTGGGCACGCGGACGCTTCTTGGACTGACGACCAGGCTACGCAGCGGTCATCACAGGGTTACACCTTCGGCCTTGGTTCCGGCTCTGTCTCGTGGCGGGCTACTCGCTCGTCTTCTGTTCTCGGCTCCAGTTGTGAGGCTGAGATCTACGCCGGGGCTATGGCTGCTCAGGAGCTTCGCTGGCTCACCTACCTGCTGACCGACCTTGGAGAGCCGCCTCGTTCTCCTCCAGTCCTGTACGTAGACAACAAGGCCATGCTGGCCTTGTGTCGAGAGCAGTGACTGGAGCACAGGACAAAGCACATTGCTCTCCGCTACTTTCTTGCTCGTGAGCTGCAGCAGCGTGGACAGTTGCGACTTGCGTACGTGGCCTCTGAGGCCAACACTGCTGATGTCTTCACCAAGGCACTTGCGCCTTGTGATCATCAGCGTTGCTGCACGCAGCTGGGTCTTGTGCCTGTCTTGCCTCACTTGCTCACTTCTTGACCTTGCTTGTACCTTGACCTATATATACTCTTGCTCTTGCTTGCTTGACTCTTGTATATCTCTATATATGATCTTGCATGCGAACTGGCCTTGTGGCCCTTGACCTTGCGCTCGGAATGTGTGGTGACTTTGTGATCCACCCTGAGCTTTGCTTTGCTTTGCTTGACTGGTCTTGTGACCCCTTGTTCTCCCCCACTTTGCCTATGGGGGTGTGTCAGAACATATAGCTTACTTATTTGTGTAGGCTATAGTGGGGTATCTCATAGGGGGTACAACCCAATTAGGGTTTCCTATTTGTACCTTTGTTTAAGATTCTGAGATGGTATTAGAGCTTAACGCTCCTGGCCTGTGGGCCCACTCGATTCCGCTGCCCTATTGTGTGTCGTGCGCCCCGTGGCGCACGACCACCTTTTTTTCTTCCCGCCACACGCTCGGGGCGCGTGGCGGTTTTCTGCCCGCCGTGCGCCCCGTAGCGCGCGGCGGGTACCTACCTCGTCGCGGCGTCTTGGGAGCCCGCGCGCTGGCCCCGACCGTCGCCTCGTCGCGGCGTTTTGGGGGACTGCACGCAGGTCCCTCCCGTCGCCTCGTCGCGGCACTTTCTGGGCTCGCGAGCCGGCCCCTCCCGTTGCCTCGTCGCGGCGCCTTAGGGGCCTGGGCGCGGTCCCCTCTCGTCGCCCGTCGCGGCACTTTCGAGGACCTGCGCGGCTCCCTAGCACGTCACCCTTCAGGGCACAATGGGGGCCGCGCCCTTCCCCTCCCCTCCGTCCTACTTTCCGCTGCAGCAGCCCCAGCAGCTGCAGCCCCTGAAACGGCCACCGCAGCAGCAGCAGCTCCAGGAGCCGCCGCCCCAGCAGCAGCCCCTGGGGCCGCCCCAGTAGCAGCAGCCCCGGGAGCAGCCGCCCCAGCGGCTGCTGCCTCTGGAGCGGCCACCCCAGCAGCAGCAGCTTGTGGAGCAGCCGCCCCAGCAGCAGCAGCCCCGGGAGCAGCCGCCCCAGCAGCAGCCACTGGAGCAGCCGCCCCAGCAGCAGCTGCCTCTGAAGCGGCCACCCCAGCAGCAGCAGCCCCTGGAGCCGCCCCAGCAGCAGCAGCCCCGGGAGCAGCCGCCCCAGCAGCAGCCACTGGAGCAGCCGCCCCAGCAGCAGCTGCCTCTGAAGCGGCCACCCCAGCAGCAGCAGCCCCTGGAGCCGCTGCTACTGCAGCAGCCACCCCACCAGCAGCAGCACGTGGAGCAGCAGCAGCAGCAGCAGCAGCCCCAGCAGCTGCAGCCCCTGAAACGGCCACCGCAGCAGCAGCAGCTCCAGGAGCCGCCGCCCCAGCAGCAGCCCCTGGGGCCGCCCCAGTAGCAGCAGCCCCGGGAGCAGCCGCCCCAGCAGCTGCTGCCTCTGGAGCGGCCACCCCAGCAGCAGCAGCTTGTGGAGCAGCCGCCCCAGCAGCAGCAGCCCCGGGAGCAGCCGCCCCAGCAGCAGCAGCCCCTGGAGCAGCTCCAGCAGCAGCAGCCCCGGGAGCAGCCGCCCCAGCAGCAGCAGCCCCGGGAGCAGCCGCCCCAGCGGCTGCTGCCTCTGGAGCGGCCACCCCAGCAGCAGCAGCTTGTGGAGCAGCCGCCCCAGCAGCAGCAGCCCCTGGAGCCGCCCCAGCAGCAGCAGCCCCGGGAGCAGCCGCCCCAGCAGCAGCAGCCCCGGGAGCAGCCGCCCCAGCAGCAGCCACTGGAGCAGCCGCCCCAGCAGCAGCTGCCTCTGAAGCGGCCACCCCAGCAGCAGCAGCCCCTGGAGCCGCTGCTATTGCAGCAGCCACCCCACCAGCAGCAGCACGTGGAGCAGCAGCAGCAGCAGCAGCCCCAGCAGCTGCAGCCCCTGAAACGGCCACCGCAGCAGCAGCAGCTCCAGGAGCCGCCGCCCCAGCAGCAGCCCCTGGGGCCGCCCCAGTAGCAGCAGCCCCGGGAGCAGCCGCCCCAGCAGCTGCTGCCTCTGGAGCGGCCACCCCAGCAGCAGCAGCTTGTGGAGCAGCCGCCCCAGCAGCAGCAGCCCCGGGAGCAGCCGCCCCAGCAGCACCAGCCCCTGGAGCAGCTCCAGCAGCAGCAGCCCCGGGAGCAGCCGCCCCAGCAGCAGCAGCCCCGGGAGCAGCCGCCCCAGCAGCAGCCACTGGAGCAGCCGCCCCAGCAGCAGCTGCCTCTGAAGCGGCCACCCCAGCAGCAGCAGCCCCTGGAGCCGCTGCTACTGCAGCAGCCACCCCACCAGCAGCAGCACGTGGAGCAGCAGCAGCAGCAGCCGCCCCAGCAGCAGCCCCAGCAGCGGCAGCCACTAGAGCAGCCGCACCAGCAGCAGCCGCCCCTGGCCCCTGCAGCAGCCGCTCATGGACCAGGTGCAGCCGTGGGGGGTGAGTGTTGGGGTGCTAGTTGTGGGGGTGTCGGTTGTGCGTGCCGTCCCCTCCTCCTCCTCCTCCTTCGTCTCCCACTGCTACAGCTCTCGCTGAGGGGGGTGGATGTGTGGGAGACTTGGGTTTAGGGTTTAAGGGGGGGTGGGTGGGAGTGGAGCTAGCGGTATAGCAGCGGGTGTGTGTCGGGGGGTGGGACTGTGTGCGGGAGGATGAGCGGAGGTTGCCAGTCTGTTGTCCGCAACACCTGTAGTCCGGGCGCTTAGTCCGGTAGCCCAGTGAGTTTGTTGCTGCGCCAGTCGCCCGAGGGTCCGTTGCCCGTCTGCCGCTACTTGAGCCGCGGGGCCTGTTACTCCTGTAGTCCGGGCGCTTAGTCCGGTAGCCACTGTGCTCGCCACTCCTGTTGCCCGTGTGTCTGCAGCTTCAGCCGCCGCCTTCTATCTCCTCTCCTCTCACTCTCCCTCCTCCTCCTCACTTGCCCGTTGTGACTACCACTAGCTTTGCTGATAATTGTGCACTTTAACTATTGCTTCTTGAACTTGTGCTCAGAATGTGTGGTGACATTGTGATCCACCCTGAGCTTGTACTGCTCTGCCTGCTCTGCTGATTACACCCCACTTTGGCTATGGGGGTGTGTCAGAATATATTTGCTGTCTAGCCTGCAGTGGGGTACTCTGTAATGAGTACAACCCAATTTAGGTCATTGTACTTGTATCCCAACCCTTCCTAGTGAAATCACTTCTCCTCTTCCAAACCTCTCGATACTTTCCTAACTCTCTCGAACTCGATCACCTAGGCACCTAAACTATGGCTTCTAAGCCTACCTTTGTTTAAGATTCTGAGAGTACCCACTTCGTTCATAGTCATTTCATTCTCGTTCAGTTTTTTCACACTGGCGGCCCGTTTACTTGACGCTGCCTATATCTCCGTGTCAAGGGACGTGTCTGACCATGATCTTTCCCCTTATTGCACCCTTCAGTGCGAGAGCCCCAACATTGCCCCCAGATCGTGGCACATCCCGCTGTGTATCCTTAAACGCCCGAAATTAGCTCATCTAATTAGCTCGGCCTGTATTTCTCTTCCTGACACTCTCTCCGCTGCAGACTGGGATCCTTGGAAGCTGTCCCTCTGTCATCGCATCAAAGCGTTTGCAGGACAGGAAAAAATCTGTGTCAAAAAGACCAACGCGCACCTTCAAAACCTTACTTGCCAACTTCGCATTCATCTTGCTGTCAACCCAACCAATGTTGAAGCTAAAGAAAGGCTACGGGTCGCCTCGCTACAGTTTGTGCGCAACGAAGCTAGCCGCTCCGCTGAACTTGCGCTTAAAGCTAAGCTAAAGGTCGAGGGTCCTCGAGAGATGGGAGTGTCATCACTTCTCGTTGGCGTCAATAGCAGGATCAAAGCCTCTTTGATCTCATCCCTGCGATCCCCCTCGGGCGATGTTATCTCGGACCTTCCTGGCATGTCCTCGCTGTGCACCTCCTTCTTCCAACAACTTTACAGTGGATCTCAACATGTCACCCCGGACCCTTCCTTCTGGTCTCATGTTTCCCCTTCTCAAGTGTCTCAAGACGTGTCCTCCCGTCTCTCCCTCCCTTTCTCCCTTGTTGAAGTCTCTAAGGCAATCTCTTCGCTTCCTAAAGGCAAGACCCCCGGGCCGGATGGCCTTTCTGATGAGCTTTTCCGCACTTTCCGCACCCACTTCACACCTGTTCTTCACTCCTTGTTCCTCGGGTCCCAAGATAGCCTCCCCCCTTCCATGCTGCAGGGCCGGACAGTGCTCATCCCAAAAAAAACCGATGCCACCGTAGTTGACAACCTACGACCTATCACACTCATGAACACCGACTATAAAGTACTGGCGATCTGCTTGGCAAACCGAGTGCAGCCTCTACTTCCCTCCCTCATCAATCATTCCCAGACTGCCTTCATCAAATCTAGAAAAATCGGCGACACTCTCAATGACACCTTATGTGAAAGTAAGGAGTAGTCTTAGGAGCCATAGCTAGGAGAGTCCTAGCTAGGCAAGAGACAGTTTAGGCAAAGAAGGGTGTTTTCACTAGCAGGAATGAGGATACAAATAGCAAACCCTAGAAGGGTTGTACTCGCTATAGAGCACCCCACTACAGGCTAGAGCATAACATTCTGACACCTTAGACATCTTCGACTGGGCCACCGCTCAAGCGCTGCCTCTACTCGCACTCACGGTAGACATTCGCAAAGCTTACGATATGGTGAACAGAGTGTTCTTGTTCAAGTGTCTTGCTCACATTGGTCTCCCTTCTTCCTTCATCAAGTGGGTCAAAATCATGCACTCCGGGACTATCACCCGCATCTCAGTAAATAATCTCTGCGGTCCCCCTATCCCTGTCCAGATCGGTGTTAGGCAGGGCTGCCCGCTGGCTCCGCTTCTATTCCTGTGCGTCATCGAGGTTTTTCATCGGTACTCGTCATGCTTCTTACCTGGCTTCCCTATTTCCCGTACCCAGAAGCGTCTGCTGGCATGCTACGCGGATGACGTTACGATTTTCCTCAATTCCGATGAAGAGCTTCGTGTAGCAGCTCACGCCCTTCTCTCCTTCGCCTCGGTTTCAGGAGAGCATCCCAATTGGGCTAAATGCTCTCTGATCCCGTTCAATATCCACCTTTCTGATATTACCCGCGCAGGAGACATCCCCATAAGACAACCCTCAGAGTTTGAGAGAATCTTAGGCATCTATGTGGGGAGCTTAGGTCTCACAGACACAACGTGGCAATACGCGCTAGCCAAGGTCAAGCGCTCTGCTAATCTCCTGTCCAACCTCCATGCCACTTCTTCGTGCAGCTGGCTTCTGAAAATCTCAATTCCGCCCTTTCATTCCCTGGGCGGTTCCAACCGCCCCCATCCCCCACCACCAAGGCACTGGATGACGTCGTCGGCAATTTCCTAGAGCTACTGGAAGGCTTAGTTTGGCGAAAATGTGTGTGATGTGAAACTCTCTGAAAGACAAGTCAACTCGGGAGCAGAACAGAACTGAACACCGCCATAATGAGTTTTTGGCTAGGCGAGGTCCAGGCGAAGTAGAGGGGGATGCTTCACTTGTTATCTGCACTAGCCGGATTCTTCACTTGTATGACAGTTCTAGGTATTGCCATCATGCCATCAGACGCTCCTGATTGAGCAGTAGAAGATACCGCCAATGGAGGAACAATCAGCGACGCTACCCGAGAAGATACACCGCTGGCTATGGGGGGTGGAGCAGAGAAGATGAGGTGAGGTGAGGAGGGAGGAGGACCCACGCGTCTTTCGTCGCACACAACTTCAAAGATCTACAGTAGAACCTCGCACAGTACAGTAGCACTTGTGGACCTACAGTAGCTTTCTGGAACATCTCACATCCGAGTCATCCGAGTCATCTCCCATTTCCCTCCCGTAAAACTCGCTGTCAGGTTGCGCGCTGTGCCTCCAGTAGACAAGGCACGCTGTAGCATCGCTGCCAGCCGAACCATCACGAAAGATTCACCTTCCGTTTGCTGCCAGAGCTGCACATTGCACACTTCAAGACGGTGGCCACATGAAACGCAAAATTCCTGCGTTGGAGATCAAGTCCACGGAGGCTGGGTGGGTAAGTTGGGGACGTTTCAAAAGGGTAGGATCCCAGCACTACCAGACCGGAGTCTTTCGAGACTGTAAGTGGTTGGGCTCTAGCTACCCATCCTGACCACACCGGGCACTTGCTTTGCCACCTTGCACGTTATGCCCACCACCAGCTCGTTAATGAGTTGAGATATGGATTAGGGAATTGCATATATCGTGAGGCACTTCAATTCAGTCGTGCACTCGTTGTTGAGCAGCCACGGAGTATGAAGGACCATTTGCAACATAATCGCACGTTTCAGGCACTCGGTAATCAAGGCCATTCGGAAAGGTACTCCCAAAATTTATGGCTAACACAATCATGAAAGAAAGCGTCCACATGTTTTGAGCATGGGTAGTCGTGAAGGATCGTGTGGTTGAGAATCAGCTGGTATATCTCAACGGAATAAAGGGGGCAAGGAAACGACTAAGAGGAGACGACAAAACGACAAACAGCCCGGGCAAGAAAAACTAAGCTCCACATGGACGGCATGCCATTCGGGAGCCTCAACCCTTAAATTTTAGGGTTTAGGCTCGCGAATGGCATGCCGGTCGTTATGGGTTTTGGTTTTTTTTCTGCCCGGGTCAGGGTGACGCTCCCGAAAGCCACTAGTGGCTGTGGATTCACAGCCACTAGTTGAACGTTCCTCCTGGGACCTGGCTGGATCTTCCACGCTGCTGTTTGCTCTTTTGTGCAAGTACAGTTCATGGAACTGTATAAAGTATGAACCACAAGTATTTCGGTAACTTTTGCCTAAGGCACTCCCCGACAGGTACACTTCGAATTCTAAAAAGGAGGTGCAAGCCTTACGATGAGTGTACTTGTGCAAAGGTCATCTGATGCTACGTACAAAAGCGTACAAATTATAGTGGTCAAGTGTGTTTGATTCTATGTAGTGGCTGCATTAAGAAGTTATCGATTTTTTTTTTTCCCACAAGCTCACTTACAGGTACAAATGACCTACCTACCAGTACCATATTTCCACCACAGATAGCGTAAAATATGATTTTCTGCTATTTACTCCCAAACCATGTCACCAAAACGGTTTTATGCACGCTTTCAAGACAGAAAAAGACAATCAACTTCTGTTTTATGCATCCTATATCTAGGCAAATACAGAGTGCAATGCAACCGCATACCAACAGCAAGCTAGAAACATACAGTAAGATAAAAACCACATTTACAGGTTGAGGCAGGAAAAACATTGGAGAACTACCTTTGTCAGACAGGGATGCATGCAATGAGGAAAAGATGGGAAACGCATGGCTGCCTGGACTGAATACACATCATGTACCCAACCAGTTGTGACAGGTTTGCTAAATTCTGCCACATCGTCTCCCTTCATGACCATCCCTCCTGCTAAGTTCTGTACACTTTTATGACCTGTTCTTCAGTTCTGCCAATCGCCTTGTCAAGTCGTCCTCAGCATTGGTCTGAGCTTCTCTGGATGGCAAAGCACTCGTGGCAGCACCTGGTAGGCCAATCTGCACCTCCAATCCATGTTCGTCTGCCACCTGAGATATTTTTTTGAAAGATTAGGGATTGGCAAATGACAGTTGAGGTGCAACTAAGCTCTATTTGATGACAATGTGCATGAGTGGAAGCCCCAAAAGACATTTTGTTGTGAAAAAACAATTAGAGGCAGCACGAGCTTATCCGCACCAGCAGCTCAAGCAACATTGCACAAGAAAGGTGTAAGGAAAAAAGTGGGATATGCACGTGGATGGAAGCAACAACTCTAAATAGTCCAGTTGATTAACTATGGCCACCTCCAATATCTTGTGTTGAGACGCCTACATATATGAAGTTGATTAAGCAAAACCATCAGTTTTACTGACCTGTTACATAAATGTGTTGACGTCCCCCTACAGTGTCTCGTGTTGAGGGTTGAGGTGCCTCGGACGCAGAGAACGGCTAACTCTGGCACAAATTCTGACTGAAATCCAGACGGAAAAAAACCCAACTGACCTGTTGCATGAGCATGTTGACGTCCTCCTCGGGCGTCGACAGCGCCGTGCTGCTGTGCATCGCGTTCTCCACGAACTGCGACTGCACCTCCATGTTCACAAATTGCCGCTCGAACACGTCCATCGTCTCCGAAATCTTCTGCAGGTTGCTGCTCGCGAGCGCGGAATCCAGAACCTTCACAATGCTTCCCATGGAAGTCGTGATGGTGTTCATCCGGGCTTGGGTATCCAGACGCGCGATAACCGCGTCTAAGCGGTTGGATAAGCGGAGGTAGTTCAGCTGCTCGGAGCGCTTCCTGATGGCGTTTTGAGCGTAAATCTTGCCGCCTTCCATGTTGCCCTTTTCGATGGCTTTTTTAACCTTAAGCTTCTGCTCCTTCTCCTCTTTCTCGCACTTCTTCGCTTGACGGACTAGCGTCTTCGACGTGAACTTAAGCTGGAAAATCTGGTCCATGAGCTTCTCCTGGTTCCCCATGGCTACCGATACCGTATAACTAGGCTTAGCTCTCAATGAAAAAGATACAAGCGCAACAGCTAGTTCGCGAGCTTAAGCGAGAGGTTAGGAGAGCTAAGGATTTTGGCGCAAGCCAAAATGCCAAGAAAGGGTCGCGTAAAAGAGTCGCTACACGCGAGTCGTAAATTAAGTTCGGAACTGGATGTGTCAGCAAGGAGCAAGAGTGACACTACACGCGCAAACCCGGTGGGGCAGGTTATAATGCGGAGTGGCCTTCAGTGGAATGGGAGTGCTAAGGATGAATGGATGGATGTGGTCCTCCAACTTTTGCCCCCCCCAACAGCGGAAGCTGGAGGAAGGCGAAGCGAAGGCGGACAATTGAGTGCACTACACAACAGAGTTGGTCCGCGCTATAAGACGAAGGCACTGGAGCCTTGGGATTTTCGGCCATAGAAGCGCACTTTTCAAAAGGGAAGCCTCATACATGCTATTTACACCCAGCTCAACACAGCACATGATACACCACAGCTGGCTTTCTAACCAGACATTTGAGCAATTAACCATTGGAGTAAGCACTTTACCTCAGAAAGCACCAGTTAATATGCATAAATGCTATACAGTGAATGGAGCCGTAATCATCTACGACCCGCCATACCACCCCTTTTTCATATGCGGCCAAACGACCTTGTGAAGAGAGCCTAACACCTGGAGGAAGGTAGGCAAAGCCCTGTGAAAAAAAGAAGACACAGCAAGTGTTGGAAGGATTTGAAAGTTGCATGAGGGTGGAGATTTGCACTGGGAACCCACACAAGGAAAACGAAAAATGCAGACATGCAACAACACTAGTGGAAACAAGCAAAACACATTGGGAGTGGGAGTTGGGGAGAGAGAGATAGGACAAGGAACAGAACGAGAAAGCCTGTGGAATAAAAACACTTGATATGTTCGCCTTTCCAGCCCCTGATTACATGCTGTACTGTGCAGCTGCTGACATGGCACCTCACCTGCTGTATGGCTTGTGACATGGCAGCGACAGCAGTGCAGCGAGCGTCCTCGTCAGCCATGGTCTTCTCCCAAGGCACCTTGGACAGGTCAGCTGCTGACGTGGCAAGCATGTCCAACCCCGATTGATTTGCTAGGAGCAGCTCTGGCGATGCCTGTGGGCGGACCAGCGGGGAGGCATGGGAAGCGGCAGGTATGGGAAAGGCAGGGATGGGAAGGGGCAGGGATGGGAAAAGGCAGGGATGGGAGAAGGGCAGGTTAGGAGGCTATCAGAATATGGTTGAGGGAAGCAAAGGCGAGGTGGGGCAAGTGAGAAGTGGAGTGAGAAGGATAACTGAGGCGAGGTTCTTGCGGCGGGGGGGCGGGAGGGGGCGGGGGAGAGGTTTGAAGGTGAGAGGGGGTGATTCCGGCAAATGGGGGAAGTTTTGATGGGTGAGACACGTACCCGCCAAGCGATGCATATGATGGCATCCCGGTGCTCCCACAACACTCTCAGCAGCGAGGGGGGCCGAGAAAGGCTTGAGAGAGGGAGAGAACGGGACAGCAGAAGAGGGAACTAAGGCGTACCCGCCAGGCGATGCATATGATGGCGTCACGATGCCCCCACAACACTCTCAGCAGGCGATATGAGAGGGCGAGCGAGGAAGCGAGAGAGGCTCTAGAGTGGATGCTAAAGTGACACGTACCCGCCAGGCGATGCAAATGATGGCGTCGCGGTGCTCCCACAACACTCTCAGCAGGCGTGACAAGTCCCCCCCTGCTAGCGCTGCCCCTGCTGCTGGCGACAGGTCTGACCCCACTGCCACCCTGCCATGGTGAGGAAGGGAAGGACAAGGGGAGAGGGAGGAGGGAGGGGGAGAGGGAGGAGGGGGGGGGAGACGGAGGAGGGGGGGGGAGAGGGAGGAGGGGGGGGGAGACGGAGGAGGGGGGGGGAGAGGGAGGACGGGGGGGGAGAGGTACGAAAGAAAGGGGAGGGGGGGGGGAGGGGGGAAGTGTGGAGAAATGATGGATGTAGGAGTTGACTTTTGAGTCGACTCAGAAGTGTGGAGAAATGATGGATGTAGGAGTTGACTTTTGAGTCGACTCAGAAGTGTGGAGAAATGATGGATGTAGGAGTTGACTTTTGAGTCGACTCAGAAGTGTGGAGAAATGATGGATGTAGGAGTTGACTTTTGAGTCGACTCAGAAGTGTGGAGAAATGATGGATGTAGGAGTTGACTTTTGAGTCGACTCAGAAGTGTGGAGAAATGATGGATGTAGGAGTCGACTTTTGAGTCGACTCAGAAGTGTGGAGAAATGATGGATGTAGGAGTTGACTTTTGACTCGACTCAGAAGTGTGGAGAAATGATGGATGTAGGAGCACACTGTTTCTGCTGCAGTGGACAGTCCAACCCCACGGCCACTCAGACATGGTGAAGGAGAGAGGAGGGTGGGGGGAGATGGGTAAATGGTGGGACGGCAGAACGTTATGAAGGGGAGTGATGGGCGGAACAGCGGACGCAACAACACATGCGCGTGACTTGGAGAGCGTTGAAGAGTGGCGTCACACAGGAAAGATAGACGTTGAAAACAGATGGGAATTCATGGATGAACAGGCTGGCAGGCGGGCGGGCGGGCGGGCAGACATGAAGGCGGATGGACAGACAGGCAGAGAGATCAAGAGACAGAGATAGAAACCATAAGGCACGCACTTGTAGCTCTGCACGATCCATCTTGCCAGTTGCATCGCATGCGACCCGCCTCCCCCTCCTCCCCCTCCCCCACCGCCGCCGTTGCCACCACCGCCACTCGAAGTCGGTCCTCCAATGCTACCTCCTCCTCCCCCTCCCCCTCCCCCAAATCCTCCGCCCACTCCCCTCCCCAGGGAACCCAGGCCCCCAAGAACCATAGAATCGCCTAACCCTCTCCCATTATCCCCAACCCCTCCTCCCGCTCCTGCCCCCCCTCCCCCCATTCCTCCCCCTTTCACCTCTCCCAACCCTCCCCCGATCCCCATTCCCATGCCTATCACCCCCAATGCAGCCGAACCCTCCCCACCCAGACGGTTAGGTCCAGAGCCGTCCCCAACCACGCGGCTAGGTCCGGAAACATCCCCCGCGCCTCCCGCCAGGGCTGCTACAGCACCACTGGGGGACCGGGCGGCAGAGGCTGTAGCGACTGTAGCTGCGCCAGATGCAGACGGATGGAGCCGTCCGGCCATGCTGGGCATGCCGGGCGGCCGAGCGTCAGGAGATCTAAGATTCCCTGCTGCTGCCGCTGCAGCCGCAGCGTTATTAGCCGCTGCTGCATTAGCTGCAGCAGCGGCAGCAGTTTGGAAGGAACCAGCAGCAGCAGTAGAGGGGAGAGGGACAGGGGGGGAGCGATTGGGATCAAGAGATCCCACTCCCATTCCTAACCCCCCCAGCACTCCTTGATTCATCAGGCCTCCCTGCCCGTTCAAACCGCCCACTCCTTGCCCGTTCATGTTGCCAAAAGAACCAATACCGAGGCCAGATGCCAAGGCAGAAAACGCTGCAGCACCCGTGGCACCAGCAGCAGCGGCAGCGGTGGCAGCAGTGGTGGTGGGGGCAGCAGAGGAGGAGGAGGGTCCTGCAAGCAGTGCTGCATTCATCCCTGCAGGAAAGCCTCCTGGGAATCCTGATGTGTTTAGACCAGAGGCGTTGAGACCGGAGGGGTTGTTGGATTGTAACCCTCCAAATCCAGGGGTATTGGAATAAAGCCCCCCGAGACCGGGGATGTTGAGACCAGCAAGGGAAGCACCAGGGAACCCTAGGGCCCCACTGTTCGTACCTGCTGCTGCAGCAGCCGCAGCGGCAGCAGCAGCAGCTGGGTTTGAATTCAGCCCCAGGCTTGAACCCGCTCCTTGACTCCCCATTCCTGTTGCTCCCTGCCCGCCGGTTGAAAGCCCTGGCAGGCCGAGATTTCCCAGCTGCCCGAAATTGAAGAAATTAGACGAGGCAGGCAGTGATTGTGGGTTCAAAGGCGTGGCTGCAGCGGCAGCGGCAGCAGCGGAAGAGGCTGTGAGGGAGGAAGGCAGGCCAGTGAAAGCAGCAGCAGCGGCGGCGGCAGCCGCAGCAGCAGAGGTAGCAGCAGGATTAGAGGCTGATGTGGTTGCCCCTGGCAGTTGTGAGAGTGCAGATTGGAACTGCATTTGAGGCCCGTCTACCTGCATCATCATCATCATCTGCTGCTGCTGTTGCTGTTGCTGCTGCTGCAGCAGTTGCTGCATCTGCTGTTGCTGCTGCTGCTGCTGTTGCTGCTGCTGTTGCTGCTGTTGTTGCTGCTGTTGTTGCTGCTGTTGCTGCTGCTGTTGCTGAATCTGCTGCATCATCTGCTGCTGCTGCTGCTGCTGCTGCTGGGGGGGCGAAAGGCTCATGGAGATGCGTTGAATGGCCCCCACGACTGACCGCACATACTGCCTGGCAGTGTTGGCCACCCCCTCCTTGGCTGCCGGGCAGTCAAACACGAACTGGAAGGCGATGGTGAGCACTGATCGCAGCTGCTGCTGCTGGGCCGGCTGCGACTGCTTGTCTAATGATGCTGCCAGGTCTAGCGTTTGCCCGTCCTGCGATGATTGTGGGAGTACGGGGGGAGGAAACGGGGTGGGGGAGAGGAAAGGAAAGAGAGGGAGTGAGAGAGGAGAGACTGACGGGAGGGGAGGGGAAGGGCAGTGAAACACGAACTGGAATGCAATGGTCAGCACTGAGCGCAGCTGCTGCTGCTGGGACGGCTGCGACTGCTTGTCCAGTGATGCTGCCAGGTCTAGAGTTTGCCCGTCCTGCGATGATTGGATTGGGAGGTTGAGCAGGGAAGGGGTTTGGCAATTCTTAGTCGAGTTACGAATGAGTGCAGCAGCAGCTGCTGCATTGACCCAAAAAGAACAAAACTGGGAGGGTAGAAGTGACCCACACGTTATCTACCTGGGAGGGTGGCAATGAGAGCGGGATGACTCGGAAGCCAGATGGCAGGAGAGGCACAGTGCCGGCTGTGGAAGCTGCGTCCACAGGGTGTGAAGAGCAATGAGCCGCGGAAGAGGAAATACCAACCTGGGAGGGTGGTAATGAGAGCGGGATGACTCGGAAGCCAGATGGCAGCAGCGGAACGGTGTCGGCCGTGGAAGCTGCGTCCACGGGGGCAAAGACCAGCTGAGCTGTCGCGCTGTGCGGCGGCGCTGACGTGGCGGATGATGCTGACGTGGAGCCTGACGTGCTTTCGTCCTCGATGCCGCTGCAGAGCTGCGATATCACATGGGAAAACGGGGGAGAGGGGAGGGGGAGAGGGGAGGGGGAGAGGGGAGGGGGAGAGGAAGAGAGAAGAGGGGAGGGGGGATGGGGAGGGGAGAACAAGTGGAAGCGGGGAGGAGGGAGGGGGAGTAGGGAGGAGCGGCAAGAAGGGAGGGTAGGTAGGAAAGCGGGGTGGGTGGGGCGAAGAGTGAGGGGAACGGGGAGAAGCAAAACGGAATAGAGAAGAGAAAGAGAGTGCGGCTGAAAAGCGGGAAAGGGGGAGAGGAGGAGACTGGCACAGTTGTGGGGGGAAGGGATGTGGGAGTGGGTGCAGGCAAGGAGAGGCCAAGGTGGATACTGATGCATGAGCTGATGCTGATGCTGATGCTGATGCATGCTCATGCTCATGCTGATGCTGATGCATGCGCTGATGCTGATGCATGCTGATGCTGATGCAATCGTTTAGCGAGAGTAAAAACGACTCTGTTACCCCACCCGCAGCACCCACCCACCAACACCTTTAGGAAAGGCCTCACCTGCAGCAGAAACGTTTCTCTCGCTCCTGCCATCCCTCGTGTGGCAGCAGCTGGCTCGAGCTTCACGAGCTCGAGAAACTGATGGGGGGACAGTGCGGACAGCGGGGAGGGGAGGGCAGGGGAGGGGTGCGTGTAGGGAGTGGGGGAAGAGGGAGCACGAGTAAGTGAGAGCCATCCCCCGTGTGGCAGCAGCTGGCTCGAGCTTTACCAGCTGCTGACAGTGGGGGAAGATGATGGGGGTGTGTGGGGGAAGATGATGGGCGAATTGGTCCGCGCGCGCACCTTAATCTGCGCGCGCGAAGGGATGAGCAAAGAACCGAACAGTTTTGATTTTTTAGCTTAAATTGTTTGCCCGAACATGTTCGAGGTTTGCCCGAACACGCCTTCACAGGCTAACAGCGAACACCCTTTTTTGGGAAAGTCGTTCAGCGAACCGAACATGCAAGGGGGAATGCGAACATGCAAGGGGGAACACAAACATGTTCGCGTTTGCCCTTTGCTCAATCCTACCTTGGTCCTATTCCTTACCAACAGCATAGGCGAGTGGCAGAGGCACGTTCCCAGTCCCTCCAGCAGCAGCAGCGCGAGCACCCATGGTGGCCTGCTCTGCCGCTGCTGAACCCATCATACCAGCCAGCCCACCCGCTCTCTCTCTCTCTCTCTCTCTCTCTCACACACACACATGATCGCACCTCTTCCTGATCCACAGCATAGGTGAGGTGCGGAGGCACTTTCCCCGCGCCAGCAGCAGCAGCGCGAGCACCCATGGTGGCCTGCACCGCTGCTGCTGAGTCCGCCTACCTCCTCCTACCCACCCACCCACCCACCCACCCACCCACCCTGTACTCACCTCCTCCTGGTCAACAGCATAGGCGAGTGGCAGAGGCACTTTCCCCGCGCCAGCAGCAGCAGCGCGGGCACCCATGGTCGCCTGCACGGCTGCTGCTGAGTCGGCATCTATCGTACCGTCTGCCCACTCGGAGCGATGGTGACGCAGGAACTTGATCAGCAGCACTGGGGAGACGTTCTGAGAAAGGGGGAGGGGGGTGTAGGGGTGGAGGGGGGGTTGAGGGGAGTGGGGGAAGAAAATAGTTCATTGGATGAAGGGCTGAATCGGCATCTATCGTGCCGTCTGCCCACTCGGAGCGATGGTGGCGCAGGAACTTGATTAGCAGGAGCACCGGGGACACGTTCTGGGGAGGGGGGAGGGGTCGGGGAGGGGTGTAGACGCAGAGCAGGGGCGGGAGAGAAGGGAGAAGGAACGAGGGGCCAAGTCAGGCGAATGGTGCTGTCTGCCCACTTGAAGCGATGGTGATGCAGGAACTTGATCAGCAGCACTGGGGACACGTTTTGAAGAGGTGGGCCGTGGAGGGGTGGGGTGGGCAGGGAAAAGGGGAAGAGTGAGAGCATCAGGGCTTGCGGACATGACATGCCAGTACGAGGAAAGAAAGAATAAGTGAATACTACAGCAGCACCCACCCACCTGCAGCAGCATGGATGCCTTGGCGCACAGCACTCCCCCGCCCACGGGCCCAGGCGCATCTGCCCCTCCCCCCATCCCCCCTGCGGCCTTCCCCCCGGCGCCTGTGGCTCTGGCAGCAAGGGTGACGTCATCCATGCCGTCTCCTTGCATGTGCTCCCACCCGTCGTCTGTGAACCCATTCACCGCCTCGTTGAATCCCCTGGAGGGAGTAGGGAGAGGAATGAACGATGTGAAAGGAAGAGCAATGAGAGGAGGGGCAAGAGATGCCCTCACCAGGCATGTGCTCCCACCCGTCGTCTGTAAACCCATTCACTGCCTCGTTGAATCCCCTGCATAAGAAGAGGAAGCGGGGAGGGGGGAGAAAGGCGGATTGGTAGGCTGTGACTGGAGGGGAGAGAGGGGGATGGTGGGGCCATAAGTTACGAGGCAGCAACTTGTACTATACACCTGTACTCATGCCTTGACGCAACCTCCTCCCACTCACATGGCGATGCGCTCTGCGATCGCGCGCCACGCTGTCAGCTGCCGGTCCTGCGGCCGCCCCGACTCAGCCCTGCTGCCCGCCGCCCCGCCCTCCCCGCTGGTGGCCTCACCACCGCCCCCTCCCGACCCCTCGTTGGCCACCTTGCGCAGGTGGCGCAGGGCCTCTATGGTCATTCGGTGTGCCAGCGCTGCCGACGACTGGTACAGCGGCCGCAGCACCTCTGGTACACTGGACGCCTGGTGGGAGGGAAGTGGAGCGGGAGAGGAAGCAGGAGAGGGAGGAGAGCGGGAGAGGGAGGTGGTGGGGAGAGGGAGGAGTGGGGCTTTCAGAAGGGGCTACAGGTGGCCTCGCTGGTGGCGTCGCCCCCGCCTCCCGACCTCTCGTTGGCCACCTTGCGCAGGTAGCGCAGGGCCTCGATGGTCATTCGGTGTGCCAGCGCTGCCGACGACTGGTACAGCGGCCGCAGCACCTCTGGTACACTGGACGCCTGGCGAGGGCGAAGGGGAGCGGTGGGTGGGTGGGCGGATGGGGAGGGGGGTGTGGCAGCCGGGGGTAAGGGATCTGCACAGGCCAAACCAGGATGACTGGTACAGCTGCCGCAGCGCCTCGGGCACGCGTGCAGGGGAGCGGTAGGTGGAAGGAGGTGGGGAGCGCGAGGAGGTGGGGAGAGGGAGGAGGTGGGGAGAGGGAAGAGTGGGGGTTTAGGACGGGGTTACAGGTCCTACAGGAATGACTGGTAGAGCGGCTGCAGCATCTCCTTGGTACTCCTGTAACCCCGTCCTAGACGCCTGGTGGTGGGAGTGCCGGAGAGCGGGCGAGGGGTGGTGGGTTGGAGGAATGAGGCAAAGGGTTTAAAAGGGCAGGGAGAAAGGGGCGGCAGACAGATGACGGATAGAGCACCTATGACAGAGAGATGAGGAAGAGAGGGCGGGGAGAGAGAAGAGGAGAGGGGAGGTAGGGAAGGAGAGAGGGATGAGAGAAGGGTTCACCTGCAGGTCAAGATGGTCACCAGCAATGATGACAGAGCCTCCCCCGTCGCACTGGCGGATGAGGTAGCCGCTGGGGAGCATTTCCGCTCGCACAAAGGACGGAGGGAGGAGGGAGAGCAGGAAGCGAGGGAGGAGGGAGAGAGACACACCTGCAGGTCGAGGTGGTCAACAGCAATGATGACAGAGCCTCCCCCGTCGCACTGGCGGATGAGGTAGCCGCTGGGGAGCATCTCTGCTCGCACGAACGACGGCACAGCCGGCATGGACGCGCCCCCGTGCGCGTTGCTGAGGGACCGCTCGCAGATGACCACGCCGTCCTCCAGGAGGGAGGTGTAGCGTAAAGTGCAGAGGTCACGCGGAGGGGCCAACGTGGTTGGAGCATACATCTGGAAAGGAAAAAGAGGGACAGGGAAGGGCAGAGGGGGGCACAGGGCAGGGGGGCAGGAAAGCAGTGGGGAAGGGGAGCAGATGGGCACAAACGACGGCACTGCCGGCATGGACGCGCCCCCATGCGCATTGCTCAGCGACCGCACCTGAAAATTCACCTGAGCCCACCTGGACGTGTATATGAGCCTACCTGGGTGTAGACGAGCTCAACAGTGCCCCCATTGGGCGTGCGGAAGCCCCCCAGCACGTCGCAGCGGCGGCACTCCCTCAGCCACGCCACTCGGTCCTTTAGCAGCTCTGCTGCCTGCAGGGGGGGTTGTGAGAGGGACAGGACGGATGGGGGAGAATGGAGATAGGAGGTCCGGATTGAGAGTCAGAGGCACGGCTCCCCCAACACACGTCACAGCGGCGGCACTCCCTCCCTCAGCCACGCCACTCGGTCCTTTAGCAGCTCTGCTGCCTGCAAGGGGTGATGAAACGGAAAGATTTGCATACAGATGTGAGGAGCCCCCCTGCCACCTGTTACATCACAGCGGCGGCACTCCCTCAGCCATGCCACTCGGTCCTTTAGCAGCTCTGCTGCCTGCAAGGGGAGATAAGAGAGGAGGGGAGGGTTGAGTCGAGAGGAATCCTTATGTGTGTGAACTGAGTGTGAAATGGGAGCAGCCATATGCGGGCAGCGTGGGCAGAGAATCTCTATTGTTTTAGTTTGAAACAACGTGCCGTGCCGTATCATGGCGTAGCAAACGAGGAAGGAACACAACACAGGTACAACTCACCTTGCTGGGCGGCAGCAGGACGAGGCCAGCCGCCCGAGCAGCAACACCAGGCCCTCCACATGCAATGGTGACCTTGCCTATGTAGCCTGCTCCGACCTGCCAAGGGGGGACGAATGGGGAAAGGAGAGGAAAGGGAGAACTTTGAGACTTCTAAACTACTCCGCATGCTAGAGCAATCTTGCCTGTGCTTCTAAGCATCTCATCTAGCTCCAAGTAATCTCACCTTTGCTCCAAGTATTTCAACAAGGCCCATGGACGTGCCAACAGCCTTCAGAGAGTCTAAACCACAGAAACCATTCCCCGCCTTCCCACCTCTCTTCCCCACTCGCCTCACCTTGACGCCCGGCATCTCAACGAAGTCCATGGACGTGCCAGTGGCCTTCAGAGTATGCCATGCAGTGAAACAAGCTCCCCACCTCCCCGTCCCCCCCCTCCCCCCCCCCCACCCCCCTCGTCTCACCTTGACGCCCGGCATCTCAACGAAGTCCATGGACGTGCCAGTGGCCTTGAAAGTATGCACTGAAACAACTCCCCACCTTCAACACCTCACGCACTGGCGGGCCACAGCAGCACCTAACCCCACCCCTCGTCTCACCTTGACGCCCGGCATCTCAACGAAGTCCATGGACGTGCCAGTGGCCTTCGCCAGGAACTCGGACAGGATCTGCTCCGCTATGGGCAGCAGGCTGGAGGGCAACGGGAGTGAAGGGAACACAGGGAGGGAGACAAGGCACGGGGGCAGGAGGAGAACGGGAACGGTCAGGGAAGTGGCAGGGGCATGAGAAGTCCATGGACGCGCCAGTGGCGTTGGCCATTGAGGCGCCTCAAAATACACCTCAATGGCCAGGAAATCGGATAAAATTTGCTCCGCTATGGGCAGCAGGCTGGGGGGGTGAGGGGTAGAGGGAGACGGGGACGGGGGGGGGAAGGGCGTGGGGGGGTGGGGGAAGGGAGGGAGGGAGGGAGGAAGGGGAAAAACGGGCACAAGGAATGGTGGCAGGGAAAGGGCAAGGAAGGGGCAGGTAATAGAGCAGGAGGCAAGAAGGAACCGGGTCACAAGTGGACGACGGGGTTGCAAGGAGATTTGGTTCTCTATGGTTGGTTGGCAGACTGGGCCGGGTAGAGGAGTGCAGAGAAATGGAGGCAGCGAGGAGGCACGGAGAAGGCAGGGAAGATGGATGGAGGAGGCAGGGAGGCAGGCGGGCAAGCAGGCCGGCAGGCAGAGAGGCAGAACATAAGAATCGGAGGGCAGGAGACGCACCCAGAGGCGCCAGGGTCGCCGGCAGGATTGGAGCCCGTGACAGCAGAGTCTGATGTCAGATTGGTGCCTACAAACCCCAGCCTTGGGAGCAACTGCTGCTGCTGCTGCTCTGCTTGCTGTGTCTGCTGTTGCTGTTGCTGTTGTTGTTGCTGCTGTTGCTGTTGCTGTTGCTGTTGCTGTTGCTGTTGTTGCTGTTGTTGTTGTTGTTGCTGCTGCTGCTGCTGCTGCTGCTGCTGCTGCTGCTGCTGCTGCTGCTGCTGCTGCTGCTGCTGCTGCTGCTGCTGCTGCTGCTGCTGCTGCTGCTGCTGCTGCTGCTGTGCTGCTCCCAGTTGCCTCTGCTTGAGCACGTCTAAAGCTGCTGCCCCTCCGCCAAACTCCCCTCCTACACCTCCTACCCCTCCCACACCTCCCACCCCTCCCACTCCTCCCACACCTCCCACCCCTCCTAGCGCAGCTGCCCGTAGCTGGGAAAAGATGTCTGGCTGACCCAGGGGCAGACCCGGGTGCATTCCGGGGGGTAGAACCGGCTGATGCCAAGGGATGGGGGGGAAGGAGGGGGAGCAGGGGAGGGGGGAGAGAACGAGAGCGGGAATGAGACGAGCTGGGGGTTGAGAGAACGGCGAGGGAGAGAGAGGGATTTGGGCGGGAATGGTTTCGGGTTGGGTTGGGAGAGGGTATGGCAGGAGAGTGCGGAACAGCTGAGCGATGGACGGCGGCACGAGTAGCCACGGAGCAGTTTTCACCGCTGCAGAACTTGAGTATAAAGGAGCTCAAGCGCTTACAGCAGTGGGAATGCCAGGAACAGGTCCTCCCGCAGCAGCAGCAGCAGCGGCAGCAGCAGCGCCAGGGAGCTTCATCGGATCCGCGGCTGCCGCAGCCGCAGCAGCAGCGGCGGCGGCCGCAGCTACAGACCCCGGCGACGGTCCGCCGAGCTGTGGTCCGCCGAGCTGCTGCGACGCTTCCAGCCGTGCGACCTGCTGTCGCAGGAGCATGTTTTCGAGCGTGAGTTGGGAGATCTTGCGCGTGGAGAGCTCGTTCTCCTCCACGAGCAGCTTGTTGAGCGCCGAGAGCCGCGAGTTCATGCTCTGCAGCCGACTGTACTCCATCCGCTGCCGCTCGCGACATCTGGAGCGGGAGCGGGTTACAGGGTTACGGGTTGCGAAAGAGAGAATGTGTTACAGGACTTGACGGGGTTACGCATCGGGAAGGAGATTAAGCTGTTCGAGAGGTTTGCTTCGGTTAGCTTGCCGAACAGGGAACAATGTGGCGACTTTGAGGCTCTTGCTATCTGGAATTGCTCGGGTTCCGACGTCGAAAGCGCACCGACTGACGCGTGTGAGAACGATTCGAAATTACAGAGCTGTGTCTCATGTCAATTCCATGAAAGTAAGTAGACGCAACGAGGAATAATTTTCTCAAAATGCAGCTCAGGTCTCGGCCTTTTCAACGAGGAGCTTGAAGCGGCTCAGGAGGCTCGAAAACGAGAATGCGGAGGCCACACGTGCTCGACCTGAAAAAACGCTTACGACGTCTTAAAATTCCGCAGTAAATATTTAATACCTTCGGTTCTGGAACCAGACTTTGATCTGCTTCGGCTCGATGTTCGAGAGCACGGGATATTCTTTGATAAGCTGCGATCGCCGGACGGAGCTGGGTTTCGGACATTCCTTATAGACTTTCTCCAACACCTCCACCTGTTCGCTCGTGTATCTAACGTATTTTCCTCCCTCCGCGGGACCGTCATTGCCCGGATACTGATCTCCCTCCTCATCCTGCTCTCTCTCGTTCTTATCCTCGCCGCTTTCATGCGATTTCTCTTGCCCTTGCCCTGCTCCTCCCGCCGACGTCACCATTACGCTTTTATAACCCACCTCCTCCTCGTATCTCTTACGCTTTCCCTAATCTGCACTTTCCCTAACCACTTTGACTTGGAAGGACAGGAGGGGGGGTTCCTCTGTTGATGCTGCTTGGAGCAGTGGTGTTAAGAAAGTGGCGGTTCAGTCAATCAAGAAAATGATGATTCCAGCAGTCGCACTGAGTGGTTTGTTGCAGTTGTCCTGCTGGAGGGCTATCAGTGCCGTCGGCTAGGGTTTGTAGTTTTCCTCACAGCGATCGCACGGGCAAGGCAGAGCGATGATGAGGAGGGGAGAACAGGAGGGGGGGGTATGATGATCTCTAGGCGCGCGCGCGGAAGTTGATCATGATCATCCAGGTTCGGGCCAAAGTGGCGTCGACGTGTTTGCGGTGCGGACGCGAGAACGGGGGGGCTGGTTTGGGGGAGAGCGGGGGAGGGAGGGTCAAGGGGGGTGGCGGAAGAGAGGATCAGGGAGATGATGATGATCCCAAGGGCTAGGGAGACGAGGGAGCGAAGGTATGATGAGGCGAGGCTGCAGTATGATGAACCAAGGTTTGGGAAGAGGTTAGGGCCCCGCCGTGAACGTTTTCCAAATGATGGAGGCTGGTCACTGTTGGTGGTAAGTTGAAGTCATACAGGCTCGGAGGGAGCGACCTCAGGCCGAGCCACGAATTGCGCCCAATCAGTGGGTCAAATTCGGTTCGGATTTTTCCCTGCCACGCTTGTTGGGCGTCGTGCTAAAACTAGCCAACCGATTTTCACCTGTACCAGCGAACTGCCAGCTTCGGAATGTAATATACGCATATCTCGGTTGTGATGGGTCTTGGCAGCAAATTCCAATGCATTGCGAACCAGAAAAGCTTCACTAGAAGGGCTCAGCTGGCACTGCTTTTCCTTTCCCTATATTAACTAAATGGCCCCAATGTTACCCAAGTTACAGTTTTCAATTGTTAGCACCACTGGCAGCTGCTTTCTTCTCGGTGACTTGGCTATTCACCGCATTTGCAATTTCCCGCACCGCTGCCACCATTGCAATAGGCTCATTCAGGCGGTTGATGGCCGATCCAACACCCTGCACAAGACAGTAAGGGGGGTTAAGGAAATGAATGGCCGGTTCGGCAATCGTAATTGCATGTGGGAGGATTAGCAGCAACAAAAGAAAGAGGAAGGGGGGGAGAGGGGGGGGGAAGGAGGGCTGTTCAAAGTAAAGCCGACATACCACTCCTGAGGCGCCAGCAGCGAAGGCGAGAGGGACAGTAACAGCACTGAGGCCAGAGGCACACATGACTGGAATGGTGACGGCACGGGCGATAGAGTAGGTGGCTGCGATGGTGGGGGTGGCCTGGAGGGGGGAGAGGGGGAGGGGGGGAAGGGGAAGCCCAGAGACAGAGGAAGGTCAGATTATATTCGGGCTATGGCTCCTTTGGAGGTGAGAGACACTCTTTAAGGACAGAGACACACATTCAGGGCATGCTGGTGGCACAGCACTGAATCAGGATGGTGGGGTTCGTTTGGTGGAGGGATGAAAAGAGTGGAAAAGGGAGAACAGGGGAGCAGCATGGAGCGAATGGCAAATGTTAAACAGAATGGAAATGGGAGCCGTGGTGAAAACTGGGTAGTCAGAAAGCTGCTCAACCACCCACCTTCTCCACCAGCCCTTGAACGCCAGCAGAGGAAGCTGCTGAGCTGGTTCCGCCCTCAGTCTGGATGACGTCAGCGCCGCACTCTTGCAGAGCCTCCGCCAGAGCGACCTGGATGGCGCGAGGAGGGGAGTAAAGGGGGACGAGAGGGGAGTAGGAGACATAGAACCGATGGGAGGGAAGGGTGATGGGTAGTGAGACGGTGAGGTATAGGTCTGACTGGGATAGAGGATGGAAGGGAGGGTGGCAGACAGGTGATGGCAGTAGACAAGTGTGAAGTGCGGGGAGAAACACACTGATTGTAAGGGTTTTAGGGGGGAGGAATTCAGGAAGATAGGGCTGGGACGAAGGGATGGGAGTACTTGGGGAAGGGCGTGACTGAAAATGGGCGTAGAGAATTTGGCGCCTGGGTGAAGAAGGGGAGATGGAATTGGTGGGAGGAAGGAATCAGCGGCACCAAAAGAAGCAGAGTGTGGGCTACGGTGAGAGAAAATGGATGGAGACGGAGTGAAAGGAGGACGGGATGGGTGGGGTGGTTGGAAGGGTGCAAATTACCTGTTCGGGCAGAGGCAGAGTGTGGGGAACGGTGACGGAAAGGGCGATGGAGGGGAGCAGCTGGCGAGTGCGACGAGTCAAGTCGAGAACCTGCAACGATGGGGAGAGGGACGAAAATCAGGATAACTGCGCCACACTCCGTATCATGCAAACAAGCGGCGTCTCGTACCCGAAGAAAACTCCCTCCTTCTGCTGCTCATGCTGTTCATCCACACCACTCCATCACTCTAGGCTCCTCTCGCCGTTCTCCTTGCTTTGTTACCCCGCCCAACTATCACTCCCGGATATGGCCTGCCTCCAGAAACTCTATATTCGTGACAAAACTCAAAATTCCTGAGAAACTCAAACGGTGCGTATTGACGCGACAATACAGGCTTGCTTCAGTGGCTCCGAGTCGACTCATATCATGCATCCACATCATCCGAAGCCTTTTTTCCACCATTCCACTTCACCTACACTGATGAGCCTTCAGCCACTCTTGAAGTCCTGAGCCGCGCCCTAATCCGCTGGTTTATGTTAATATTTTGGGGTTTTATCTCCGTTGGATTTAGAGATACGAGCTCTTCGGCCCAACCTAACCTCCTCCGCAGCGAACTCGTTTTGTGAGGCGTCTAAAAAGCCCGTGCCTTACTCCCGTTGCTATTGAGAAGAAAAAGCTCTTTCGCACAGCCCCGCCTTACCTTCTCTGCGGTGAACTCCCGGCCGTCTGGATAAAACGAATCGAAGTTGCCAATCTCGATCTGCCACGTGGAATCAAAGGGAGATGAAGAGATTAGATTGGAGCGAGGGGGAACACCTCCAAGCGCACGAGTGAACAGGCTGGAGTGTGATTGCTTGCACTGCGGGATGACCACGTTCGCCCCGTGGCTTGATTGCCATATCATGTAATCTTTAGAACTCTACGCTGACTGACTCACCATGTGCGCGCCAGCAGCAACTGCCTCGACGAACTTCTCCGGCTCGACTGCCGACACGCAGATCTGATCGACAGGGCGAGGAAGGAGCATGGAAGGGAGTGAAGGGAGAGAGCAGAGGGATGGAGACTTTTGAGTCATCCCGGCTCGACTGCCGACACGCAGATCTGATCGACAGGGCGAGGGACGAACATGGAAGCGAGAAAGGAGGGAGCAGAGGGAGGGAGGGGCAGGGCAGGGAAAAGAACGACAAGGTGAGGAAGGAACAGGCCAGGGCGGAACCATATACGGGTTGAGGGGAGAAGGAGGCGGATTGACAAACAGGGAATATAAGAATGCACACATACATACAGTGGTACATTCATGCCTGAAACGGCTTCCAGAGAGGGCGATAAGGAGCGGGCAAGACTTCTTCAGGGAGAGACACTGAGGCCGGAGGGCTTACAGGGAGAGAGGTGAGGGAGCGGGCGAGGCGAACGAGATCTGCATCGCACGCAATGTCGACTACCGTGGCACCACCCTGGCGAGTATTGGAAGGGGATGGGATGCGGGACAGACGGGGTCGTGAACCGACGGGAATGAACGGAGTGAGCAGGTGCGGAGTGAGGAGAGAATGGAAGAGCGCGGAGATAGAGATTCAGGATCCAGCAATGGAAAGCGGCGAGTGGAAGAGCGGATGGACCGGAGCGAAACCAATGTGAAATAGACGATGCACGTCGGGGGAAGGGGAGGCTGGGAAGGAGAGAAAGGCGGAAGTGGGGGATGGGATAGATCGATGAATGGTAATGAGGATCGATGAATGGTAATGAGGATCGATGAATGGTAATGAGGACAGAAGTGTTGGACAGGCGTTGCGTACCTTCTCGGCAGCGGAGACGACAGCGGCAACAGAATCGGCATTGAAGTTGTTGAGTCCTGCGATGGCCTGGAAACACCAGAAACGACATTGCGAATGAACGGAAAAAATGCTTCATGAAAGGGAGTAATGCCATGATTGAGCAGCTGACTTCTGGATCGACTCAGAAGTCATGTTCGTGAACAAGCAAACAGTCCCCTGAGGTTCTTGCATTCACGTCTCATGTGGCAAAAACGTGTGTTCTTCTCTCACCACGTGAGACGTGAACGCAAGATCCTCACAACGAGCCAACGACAACGACAACGGCAACGGCAACGACAAACTGTTCTGGACCTCCGGTACTCTGAATATGTACAAATGTGGTAATATTGTTCAGCTTTTCCTGAAAGCACACCTTGAAAGCCTTCTTCTCGCGGAAAGATCTCAAAGCGAAGGCTCGGTTGCTCTCGTCGTTGGAAGCCGACGGCTTCGCGGAGCACCTGACGGAACCGTTAGCCTTGCCAGCCGGTGCACGATTGCTGACGGAAACAGCGGAGCGCAGGACGGGTGTTCCCGAGATAGCGGCTGAGCTGGCAAGAGCCCTAGATGACGCGCCACACGCGGAAAACGCGGAAGTCGCCACCATTGAGGAGAGGGAGCTGGTGGTGAGAGCAGCCATGGCTTGAAAGTTTAGCGCAACGAGTCTTATACGCGTACAGAAGCAGCACTGCTGAGAAAATGAACGATAACTGCTCGACTCCCTCTCCTGAATCAGGGTCCTTGGCTGAGAGTGAGGTGCTGTGAGAACTAGATACAAAGGAGAATAACTAAGGGTACTGGTAGAAAGTTGAACAAAAACTAAAAATCCTAGTCGTAGGCAAGCAGAGGTGAGCCGAGGTGAGGCGAGCTGGAGTGAGGTTGGGTGAGGTGGAATGGAGACCCCAAGGTGACGCAAGCAGTGATGGAACTTGTCCGAGAGGAGAAAATCAATCCGCAACTTACGGGAGACTGGCGCGAAGAGCGGGCAGAGAGATCCCTGGGAGAAATTTGCCAGAGCGAACATTTGACGTGTCAGCTACGACGGGTGATGATGACTTGCATTGTTGCGATTGGAGAAAATGTACAAAAATTCTAACAAGCGTGCGTGTCTTCGTGATAAGTGAAACCACGTGGCGAAAGTACATTCGCCATCTCTTTGGTATTGGGCAAAAATCTGTCTCCACCTAAGCCATAACTCGGTAACATGGACTGTTGCATGCAGTCGGAAGGTGCAATGCGCCGTTACAAATAATCTCACGTTAAGTCTGTTGTCTCCTAGATACCACTACTCACTAGAACAGGCTGCAATGCACAGATGCAGTAACTCAGTACTAGGATTCTCGCTGAACAAAAGGAAGGAACCCTCTTGGTACCCGCGCAGCCCTTACAACATACACTCCCTATTGCGACCTCTAAATCCTCTTGCTAGATAACCCATTCTCCCAGAGGCGCTTCTACATGTAAGATCCGAGGCCGAGCTCAAGAGCATGTCAAATCCCCTCAGCAAGTGGCGCAGCTGGTGGTAAAGGAGACTTGGAGTCAGGTACGCGGATGGAGGGCTCGTTGCACTTCCCATGCTCCCCATGTTCACCTAAAAATGGCAGCAGCAGAGAGTGTACTGAAGAAATCCAAACGCAGCATGGGTGGGATATGAGCTCGGTTATTGTGGTTCATAAGGATGGGGGGCGGGAAGGGGAGGGGAAGGGGGGAGGGGGGAGGGGGGGGCGAGGGGAGAAAGGAGGGGAACTGGGATAAGCGGGGGGAGATAAGGGGGAGAGGGTGGGTGGGAGGGGGGATGGGGGGTTGAGGGAGTCGCAGAAAGGGGTTGAAATTGCTTACCTCAGACTCGAGAGAGAACAGCCCATCCAGCAGTGAGGAGGCATGGGAAGTGAGGGATGAAGCAGATGGAGAGAGTGTGACTTGAGCAGTGGAGGAGGGGAGGAGGGGTTGCTGATGCGCGGATGGAGTGGTGGGGGAAAGGAGATGGAGAGAGAAGAGAGGCGGGCGGCGAGGGAAGTCAGGATAGATGACCACCTGATGGGCCGGGCGGCAGCGGGCACGGAGGCAGGGCAAAAATGATGGATGGAGGAATGCTGGATAACAACTTCACGGCAGGATCACGCACTAGGAGCAGGAGTCTGCAGCTGGGAGAAACGTTAACACACCAGCAAGCAAGCTTCATTTTACTTTTAAAACAGGGAGGTGAATCAAACATCACGTACCAGTGCCTGCAGGTCACACACACACCTCTCGCCCTCCTCCTTCCTCCCCTTCCGCTCTCCACTCCCACCACTCCCACTATCCCCACCACCCCTTCCGCCCCCTCCACCCCCGGCGCCCCCTGTGCCCCTGACAATGAGCTCATACACATAGGCACCGACCCCCAGCACAGTCTCCCAGGCGACAGCAGCAGGGGTGGACGGATGGATACCATGCACTGCTGCCCACGACCATGGCAACGCCACCCACACCACCCCCTCGCCGCCTTCCCCGCCTTCCACGCCCCCGTTGCCCCCACTCCCCCCGCTGCCCCCCCTGCCCTGCCCGTCCCCTGCAGGTCCCTCTGCTGCTGCTTCTGTTCCTGCTGCTGCTGCTGCTATGGCTCCTGATGCTGCTGCTTTACCCTCAGTTTCTCGCTTACTCCCTCCCCCTCTCCCTTTCTCTCCATCCTCGTCGCCCTTATCCTTCCCCTCCCTGCTGCTCCTCCTCTCCCTGCCACTGCTCTTCCCCTCGCTCTCCCGCTTCTTCCCCCCGCCCTCCCCCTTCCCTCCTGACCCCCCTTCAACCCCACTTACCCCTGCCAACCCCGCCACCCCTCCCAACCCTACTGCACCGGCCAGTCCACCCAATCTCCTCCTTTGTGCTATCACCAGAGCCTGGGCAAGCATAGCACCAGGCGGCAAGGCACACTCTCCTCCCAACCCACCAACCGGCAAGCTGCTCTCTCTTCCAAATCCACCCACAGCCAGCCTCCCGAAAGCCTCGTCTCTACCTTTCCCTCCTCCCGTGCCTTCTCCTCGGCCGCGAGACGATCCATCCTCCCCTGATCCCTTCTCACCCTTCCTCTCATCCCCTTTCTTCTCGTCTCTTTTCCTCTCGTCCCCTTTCCTTTCATCCCCTTTTTTCTCTTCCCCTTTCTTCTCATCTCCTTTCCTGTCACTCCTATCCTTCTCCCCCTCCCTCTCGCTCCTCCCCTCCCCTCGCCTCTCCTTCCCTCTCTTCTCCCCCCCCTTCCCACTAGCCAAATCCCCCTCTTCAGCCTTTCCCCCAATCTGGCTGCTACACGTGGCGTTTGGGAACCCCAGCGGGCCAATGAGAAGCTGCCAGCTCAGAATGGAGCATTGGGGAAGGTACCCGGAATCTCCTGGCCAGGGCCCAGAGGAGTAGGGGCCGACAGTGGCATGGGAAGGCGTGATTGTGGGGAGTCTGCTTGTAACGAGGGAGGAGAGAACCGCACTGCAGTCACAAGTGACGGCGGAAGACGAAAAAGTGGATATAGGGAGGAAGGAGGTACTGAAAAATGAGAGGTGGAGAAGCAATTATGGTAAAGAAAATGGTTTTTAGGGTTTCGGGAACAGTGCTACCAGGTATTCCAAAGAGTAAGAAAAATGTGCAAAATTTTGGACACACACTTTTGCACTCACACGCCTCTGCTCAATCCCCCAATTCACTCAGGTCCCACTGGACACTTCCCCCAAGCACTCACACGCCTCTGCGCATCCCCCCCAAGGCACTCATCATACCCGTCCGCTCATCATTTCTCCACCCCCTCCAGGCACTCACATGACTCACTTGAGCTCTCTCGCAGCCGTCACTCGCTCCCTCATCGCCTGCAGCACTCGCCCCAGCCGCCGCTCCTCCCTGAACGCTTCTAGCCGCTCCAGCAGCTGTGCCCGTGCTCCCCCCGGCCCTGTCTCCGCTGCCCCTCCCTCTCTCGCCACTGCCACTGCCGCTCCTGCAGCAGCCGCAGTAGATGGAGCAGCAGGAGGCGCAGCAGCACCAGACGATGTGGCAGCAGAAGGTTCGACCTCCATAGCAGCAGCGGCAGAGGCAGCAGCAGCAGCACCAGCAGCGGTGGCAGCACCGTCAGCCGCACCAGCAGCAGCAGAAGAGCCGGGGGGCAGCAGGAAGGAAGGAGGGAGGGGCGGGAGAAAATCCAGGCCACACATGAGCTGCGCCCAGTAGTACGGGCGGGAGACGCGTGCAGAGAGAGCCGCCACGAACCCACTCTCCCGTGCTAACGGCTCCTTTGCCATATTCGGGAATAGAAGGCCTGAGTCCTCTGGGAAAAGATTAGTGAGGAGAGTGTGGAGGGAGAGAGGGGACGGGGGGAGGGTGGGTGTGGGAGGGGTGGGGAAGAAGGAGAAGGAGGAGGAGGAGGAGGGGAGGAGGGGCGGGGATTGGGATTCGACGGGGCCTACGCAGATGATCCCGAGGTTCCAGAGCATTTCGAAGCGGAGCACTAGCAGCGCGGGCTGTTGCCCGTCTTCTTTCTCCCTTGCCTTGCTCTTTTCCCTCTCTTTCCCCTTCTCCTTTTCCTTCTCCTTCTCCTTCCCCTTCTCCTTCTCTACCTTCTCCTCCTCCTCCGCCCCGCGCTCCCCTCCCTGCCCGACAGCCTCCGCGTTCCCCCGCTCCGCCCTCCCCCGCGCGTCCAGCAGGCGGAGCACCACCGCCAGCGGATGGGGGGAATCCACAGCGCCGATCAAGTCAGCTGCGCCGATCCCCGCATTCACTTGCGCCTGCTTCCCCCCCCCCTCACTGACCACCATAGCAGTGCCCATGGTACCCAGACCATCACCAACACCGCTACCACTACCGCCGCCACCGTTACCGTCAGCAACAACAGCGTCAGCGCCAGCACCATCAGCGGCACCACCGTTACTATCACCGTTCCCATCCCCCTCTCCATTCCCATCAGCACCACCACCGTCAGCATCAGCAGCAGCAGCATCAGCAGCAGCAGCTCCTGCGGCGTCGTTTTCAGTATCAGACTTTCGCCGCCTCCTCCTCATACCTTCCTCCTCCTCTTCCTCCCGTTCTCTCTCCCCTTCTCCCTCCTCTCCGTCTTCCTCCTCCCCCATCTGACCCTCCTCACCGCCTCCCCTTGCTGCCGCAGCAGCTGCTGCTGCCTCCCTCTCTTCCACCAGAGCAGCAAAGGCTTCCGCTTCTCTAACGCTCCCTTCAATCTCCACCTCTATCGCTTCTTCTAACGAGTCCCTCCGAGCAGCTAATTGCGAGTACAAAACGTAGAGAGGCGGCGGGAGGAGGGACGCTAAGCGGTGTTGCTTCACCCGCCGCGAGTGCTGCATCCCCATTTGCTGTTGAAGCGGACCGGATGCCTTTTTCAGGGCTTTCAGCTGCCCGGGAAGGCTGCCCAGAAACTTTTTCCGGCTGCTGATGCTCTCCTGGAGCGTCCGCCGGCGAATTTCGAGCATCTCCCGCGCGCGGACCAGCTCCTTGCGCTGGATTTAGGGGGGGAATGTAGAAGGGTAGTATTGGTATCTGTACAAGAGGGAGAGACCTGAATGCGGATGCCATAAAAACCCCTAAAATCTTAGCAACTGTTGCGAGCGGACCAGCTCCTACCGCAGGGCTGGGGGTACGCAAAGAATGGAAGGGCGGATGAAACGGTAAGGGTCCAATCTCTGGCGGAAAGTCGATCGTGGTTTACCTGATGAAGCTCGTAGTTAAGTCGTTGCAGCATCAGCCGGTGCGGATCCTTTTCCAACCCCGGTTCCGATTTAAGGCTCTCCGGTGCATCCATAAAGAAGTCGTGCGCGCTCACGAGCTCAATGTCCGGATGCCGCGAAACGAAATCCCTATACGCGGCGATCGATCTCGCGTGGTGGTTCATCTTGTATTGAAGATTGTGTAGCCGGAGCGCGGTCGTGTCTACAGGAGCTCGCGCCGCTTCGGTCTCCGATTTAACGCGTTCCTCGTCGTTTAAGATCTGACGGTTCAGACGGCGTAGATCCAGGAGGATCACCGAGGCCTCTGTTGAAAACTCCTGAATGTCGGCGAGAGCGGCGGAAGCGGTCTCGTTTTTAGCTGTCTCGATACCCTCATCGCTTTCAAGCGCTTTGATCTGTTTCTGCTTTGTTAAGAGGATGTTCGATATAAGCTCCTCGAATTTAGACCGTGCCGATACGAGCTCGTCGTAGGTCGTCGACATTGCAGCGAATGAACGCTCGCGCTTCTGCAATACTTTATTTACCGATCTGCAATACGTCTCAACGCTTGGCAAAAACGCCTAATCGCCAATTCCTTAAGTGTCCAATCGCCAGTATGCGAGTGTCTAGTCGCGGGAACGCGAATGCTGATCATGGTCCAGCGGATTTGAAATCGCTAGCGTTGATAGTTGCGAATGACACGCACGGAGGGCCAGGTTAGGACAGGTCGAGCGTAAGGGGGAATCCAACACTCCAGACTGGAGCTACAATCACAACATGAGAGCCCACGAAAAGGCAGAGCTCCGGACTAGGTCAGAAAAAGCGAGGACTAAGAATAGGGGATTGACTAGTGAGAAGGAATGGCGGAGGAGGGTGTTGGGGGAGTATGGAATCTGTGGATCGGGGAACTCAGGTGACAATCCCAAGGAGCCCTAGAAGTTGGCGGAACTGGGAGATTCGGTACAAATTGTTGCACATTATGTATCTGTAGCTTTTATTCTCTACCTCCCCAATAGGACAGGAGTGTGTTACGAGTGCAATTGAGTGAACGAACGAGAATTGCACTATCGAAGCAAGAGTACAATGAGCGAAGGCATGAGCGAAGAATATATAGCAAAACTACAGTGGTAACGGTAATGGACTGTGGTTGTCGCGCGACGGGCCTGGGACTGAGGTTGGGAAAAGTGTCGAAGCGGAGGCCCGGAGCGCGGGTTACCCACCGAGCCGTGAAGTCGGGGTGCGATGTGCGAAGGTGGCGGGCGGATTGTCGATGCGAGGGTTGCGAGTGGTAACGGTGCTGTCTGTGGTGCTACAGTGATGTACGCGTTGAGCAGGGATGCGAAGTAAGGAAAAGGAATTTTCCTTACACTACCCCCCCCCCCTAAGGAGGTCCTCCTTACAAAAGTGCGTGTACATCCCTGAAATTTCGGCTACGCAGATACTCGGTGAGGACGGGGTGGTTTTCGATTCTGTCCAGGGGAACCCAATTGTCATCGGTAGGTGTACGGTCCTTCCAGCGGAGTAAGAACTCGATCCTTCGGGCTCCTCGAGGGTCGCGAACTCTGTGACTCAGGATTTTCTCGGGGGTGATGATTGGTTCAGTTGGTGGTCTTGTCATGCTGGCTGGGTGATTGCGTGGCAGCTGGATCGTGGACGGGACGTAAGGGCGAAGTAGGCTGACGTGGAATGAGGGGCTGACGTACCAGTCAGCAGGGAGGAGGAGGTGGGCGGTGATGGGTGTAAGCATGTGGCTTATGCGAAATGGCCCGCAGTATCGGGGGCGGAGTTTCGGGGTGATGGGCAGTCGGAGGTTCTGAGTGTCAAGTAAAACTAAGTCGTCGGGCTGGTAAGTGACAGGTCTGCGGTGGCGGTCGGCGTTGCGTTTAGCGATGATGTTCGATATTTTTATTGCGTCTATTGCCCGGGTCCGTGCTCCTTTTAATATTTCAGCGAACTGTTGTGCTCGTGGTACTGGGTTGTTGGGATTCGGGGTCATGGGTACTGTTGGGTCTTGTCCGTAGTTTAGGTAAAATGGTGACTGTTGGGTCGTGGCGGATGGCGAGTTGTTGTACGCGAATTCGATAAGTGGCAGTTGCTGTTCCCACATGGTCGGGTCGTCACACGTGGCCTTGATGAGCTGTTCCATGGTCTGATTTGTCCGTTCTGTCTGTCCGTCGGTTTCGGGGTGGTATGATGAACTGAACTATACTCGCGTGCCGAACTGCTGCCACAGGTTTCGCTAGAAGTTGCTGGTGAATTTCGTGTCGCGGTCGCTGATGATCGCGGCTGGTATCCTGTGCACTCGAACGACGGTGGAGATGAAGAGGCGTGCTGTTTCTTCGGCTGTGATTGATTTTTTGCAGGCTGCGAAATGTGCCATTTTCGTCAGTCGATCGACGACGACTAGGATCGCGTCGTTCCCACTCGCCCCGGCTGGTAACCCCGTGACGAAGTCCATCGTCACCTGCTGCCAAACACGCTCTGGGGGTGGTATCGGCTGCAACTGTCCCGCCGCCCGCTGTCGTGATGATTTCATGAGCTGACAAGTGGGACACGATGCCACGTGTCGTTGTACGTCGGTCAACATTTCAGGCCAGTAATAATACCGCTGCAGCTGCTGCCGTGTTTTTTCTACTTCGAAATGCCCCGAGGTAACTCCGTCGTGTGCCTCCTGTAACAGTAAGTCCCGTAGCAGTGTATACACAGGCACCCAAATGCGGTCAGTCCCGGTTTTTACGTAATAGACTCCCTTTGCTGCTGCGAACTGCTGCGAATTTCCTCCTGTGAAAAATGGATCCGTTTGGTACCCGTGGGTGAATAGGCCTGTCAGTAGCGGGCTTGTCTGGGCAAGTAGTATTGCGTCGGCGATGTTCGAGGCTCCCTTTTTGTAAGTGACCGTATAGTGAAAGTTGGACTTGAGGAAATCGAGCCAGCGAATCTGTCGTGGGTTGAGGTGTGGCTGTGCGCAAAGGTACTGTAGTGATTTATGGTCTGTCCGTACTGTCACGTCCACGCCAGTCAAGTAACAGCGCCATACTTTGAACGCGTGCACGATCGCAAGCATTTCGCGGTCGTGTATCGGGTAATTTTTCTCGGGCGGGTGCAGTTTTTGTGACTCGTATGCCATAGGCTGTAGGCCATTGCCAAAATCCTGTAGCAGTACGGCTCCGATGGCGATATCGCTTGCGTCGGTAACTACTTCGAATGGGCGGTGTGGGTCGGCGATGCGCTGGACGGGCGGTGAACAGAGAACATTTTTCAGGGCAGAGAAGGCAGCATGCTCTTTCCCCCCCCACGTTAAAGCGACCCCCTTCCGCAGTAAATCCGTCAGTGGGGCAGTTAACCGTGCCATATCGAGGACGAACCGACGCACATAATTAACGAACCCTAAAAAGCTCTGCAGCTCCGTGATGTTCGTCGAGGGATGCCACGCTTTTACCGTATCCAACTTCTTTGGGTCGATTTCAACTCCAGCCTCCGAAATAACGTGCCCCAAAAATTCTAACCTATCGTGGAAGAACTCGCACTTGGAACCCTTGGTCAGTAATCTGTGCTCGTCTAAAACCTTAAACACAGCTTCCAGATCTGCTAAGTGCTGCTGCTTATCCCGACTGTACACTAGGATGTCGTTGAGGTTGTGAGGATCTGGGATCGAGCTCAGAAAAGATGATTCAAATTGAATTGAATGATCACCTGGGTACAACACGAGGCTATATATAGGCTCGACACAAGGCCCCGTAACCAGGTGTTACGCGAAGGTTCCGCGGGTCGCGAAGCGTCCCGAACAGATCCTTACCGAATTCGGTAGAAGGCAATTCGGTGGCAACCGAAAAGCCAGAATTCGGTGCACGCAACCTAGCTCGGTGCTATAACTATAATAAAATATAGGAAAGCATAATAAAGTAAAGGCAAGCAAGCATAGCTGGCATAAGCCGTCGTACTCTCACACGTCCCCCCCTCAAAGCTGGGTGGCGTGAGATACACCCTGCTTGACAAGATAGTCCTTGAGAGCACGGCGTGCGTTGCCCATATCAGCTTCTGCAACCCAACTGTCCTCACTGGGGTCGTATCCCTTCCAGCGTATCAGGAACTCGAGGGTCTTGCCACCGCGA